ACTTGATTGGGGGGTGGGGGTGGTCTGATATATTTAAGATGGTCTCGGCGGGACGCGACAATGTGTGTGTAGACAGTGAGTAATTGATCTGCAGTCAGCGAGTATTATTGAAGTTGAGCACGTGCGTTGTTATAGCGTTTGTTTTAGCGCGATTGTTGAAATTAAGTGTATCGTAAAGTTATATTCGGAAAGAATAAACCAGTTTTATTAAGTAAGGACTTGTGTCGCTAAAGTTTCGTCGGAACGCATTTACGGAAAATTAATTAACAAACGGAGACGTAACAAATTGGTGTCAGAGAGTGGGACGAAAAAAAAGAAATGGAAACGAGAAGCGGCAAATCAAACTACAGCTTAGCAGATTTGATGGCAGCAATACAAGAACAGCAAAAGAAACAGGAAGAGAGACAACAGCAGTTGCAAGAAAACCTGCAACAATGGCAGCTCGAACAACAAAATAAACAAGAAAAGAAACAAGAAGAGAGCAACAGCAGTTGCAAGAAAACCTGCAACAGTGGCAGCTCCAACAGTAAAATAAGCAAGAAGAGAAGTTACAGCAGTTGTTAGAAGAAAAAGAAAATAAACAAGAAGAGAAGTTACAGCAGTTGTTGGAGGAAAAAGAAATGAAACAAGAAGAGAGATTACAACAGTGGCAAAAAGTACAAATGGAAAACATTAGTAAATTTAAAAGCGAATTAGATACGTTAAAGGACGACTTTTTGTCTTTTACACAAGGAGGATACATTAACCATCGACTTAATCAGCCCCAGACAATGGCAAGCCCCTTACAGATCCCGCAGCTAAACCCTAATGCAGACATATTCAGTCCCGTTAGAAGTCACATCCCAGATATGAATGTCAGTAATAGGAGTGATCCAGTGCGAAGGAAGCCACAGGAATTCGATGGGAAAGCCCCGTGGGAAGCATATAGGCACAATTTGAGCTACTGGCAGAAATGAATGTATGGACAGAGGAGCAGAAAGAACTATATCTGGCTGTAGCTTGAAGGGACAACCATTG